GGACGTCCGGGCTATTTATTTTTGGCCATGTATTTTATTGTCAATCGCCAAAGTATTTGTCGACATTTGCACAGATTTATGCGCTATAAAAAAGGCACATATAGGCTGCAGGCCAAACGCTTTATGGCCGCTAATAAAAAACCCTTGACAAAAATGATACAATGAAAGCAAATATGGGTTCGTGGGAGGGGGACAGGATGTGGGGGCACCCAGAGATCGACGAGAGCATTGTTTACACATTTGTGTGGCAGATGCTTAATTTTTTATAGCACAACACAATAATTGCGGGCAAACATTAAATATTTGCCTCTGTGATGCAGTCCCATGCTAATTTTTATTGTGTCGCCACAAATGAAAAGTCAACACAACAAATGTGTGCATGAATGCGTGTGTGTGTGTGTGTGTGTGTGTGCGTGCTAAGCTCTTGTTTATTTGCCGAAGGTAATTGTGGGTGCGTTGCTTTGAAAAGTGGAGCTGATTAAATCCACCTGCACGCTTTCAAGCTTATTTGTTTATGTGCCTTCATTAATACGTGCGCTTGACCTTTTCGTTGTTATGCTGTTTATGCTGTTTGTTTATTTATTTGCTTTGCAAATCAACAGCTAAACTGCTTGGAGTTCTAACTGCACCCAAAGCCAAGCTCTTGACCATTAGCCATTTATTTGCATATTTGATGGGGCACGCATCATATGTTTGTTGGCCCCAAGGCCGACAATTGCGCCTTCTGCCGCTTTAATTGTGGCATCTGAATATTTTATAAGCTACAAGCACATTGCTATTCGTCGTATGCTCTACTCGTGTGTACCTACATAAATACACTCGAAAAAACGAATGCTACTCATCATTTAATTCAATTTAAATGGGTTCTAATTTGTTGTTTATTCATAAAATATATCCAACTTGATTAAACTGTCAAAATTTGTACGTAGTATGAAACGAGTTTAATAATAACATTTTGTATATACTCCTATGCTTTATGCAACTTTTTGGATACATAGTCATTATTTAAGTTTGCCTTCCCTATTGTGTATTTAAAATTTAAATAAATTTTTAGGCTTTTTGATTATAGTGCCGATAAAAAAATAAAATAACTTGAATAACTTTTCACTCTTAATGCGTTATTCTTTGCTATTACTTCTCTCACTGCATCTTCTTTAAATACCAGTATGTATATTTATCGTCTATATAAGTATTTATTTGCATAGAGACCAAGAAGCCGGTCACAAGTTTCGACCGCAGGTGCACCTAGCATGCACTTTAATAAACTTTTCATCTGAGTAATATAATGTCTACATAGTCTGCAGCTATAGAGAACAAGTGTTGCCTTGTTGCGTTACCGACCTGCTGCTCAGCTGCGCACTTTGGTGGAAATTCCTCCCGCATTTCAGCTTCATAATTGCCATGGAAACGATACGCTAGCTAGCTTTTGCATTTTGTCGCAAGTTCGCGTTGTTTTCGTTCGGCGTTGGTCCTTGGGCCTTGGCGCTTTTTGCCAGGGCCATCTTCCACTCCTCTGAGCGCGTTGTTGCTGTTGTTTTTAAATTGCTTTTAGTAATCTTTCATACTTTTTTCTACGCTTCAATGGGCGTTACTTTATTCCGCCGCTGGTATAATTGTTGGCGTTGGAGGTCGTAACGCGTTTTAGAATAAGTTTTTCGCTATTCTGCTCTGCTCTGCTCTGCTCTGCAGCTCGGTCGAGTGCATTTCATTTAACTTTTTTAAGAAAACTTTTGCGAATTGAAAAGTGCAAATGGTTTGTTCTTAAGTTTCTGTTCAATATGCGCCCTAATTGTGTTTCTAGTTAACACACGCACAGCTCTCCATTTCTTCCTTGTATATCTGTATCTGCCTCTATTAAAGCATTGGGGAATAGCAACTAAAATTATAATCAACTTAATAGCAATGCAGCCTGTTGTCACTAAAACCCGTTGTTGGTCAGAAATAATGAGTTCATTTGTGCGCATGTATTGTGTTAAATTTCAACTGCTTTCATATTGTTGTCACTCTTCTGCAAGTGCGCATTTTATGCAAACATATTATAACTATGTACATGCACGAACAAAAGCCAAAGTTTGTTTTCCAAACTTTTACGCAGTGCCTTTTTATGCGGAAAACTTTTTTATTTTCCTTTTCCCCATTTACTTGAGAGTATGTATATATTTGTATAAATTTAAACTTATCGTGCTGCCAAAAATGCAATTTTTTCTAAAATTAAAAAGTAGTCGAAAATTAGGAAATATAAAACGAGATCAAATCTATTAAAAGTGACAATCTCTTTGGTTAATTGATTATGAGCTCTATTTTTTTATAGGACGCATAAAAGTCATAAAATAAGATACATGCTATCTCTCTAAACTCTAGTTTTTGAACCGAATTTGAAATCCTGGCTTTTAAGCATAATTTCTATACCGAATAAATTTAAATTTAAACGACCATACTAAAGACGAATCCCACATTCAAAGGTTTAGGGTTTTAAAATATATTCAGCGCATTAGTTATTCCTGTTCTAATCATTAGCTGCCTGCCTCGGCCTCCATTGAAAAGATTTCTTTAAATTTAAATTGACTTTAGATTATAACTTAAAAACTTTCATACAGCGTAACGTTCTTGCAAAAATTTTATTTACACCAATGTGAAATAGTTGTTTCCATAGCGCCTATTAAAAGAATCTCACAAAATTAAATAACAAAAAGGTTACTAAACCATAGTTTTGTACAGAAAAGCCACAAAACCAAAACAATTTAAGCAAACACTGGAAGCCGCAAAGCCAATTTACAAGAAAAACTAAAAACTAAAGCACCTGTGTGGAAGACCCGAGGATATTCGATACAAGTTTGTTGTTGTGCGGTTATACAAGGGATAGGGGGATGGAAAACCATACGAGCAGAAAAGCAATATCAGAACTTGCTGGACACTAACAAAATCTAAATATTTGTTATTTAATTAAGAGCTAAAATTGCCAATGAATGCGGCAAGAGGCATCAAACACCCAAGGTGAATGATACTGTTGGGAAAATCAAAATTGAAAGAAACATTTTAGATGGAATTGCCACAAGCGTATTTGCATGTCCAAGTGGGTCTTCATGTAAACATGCTTGTCTGTACATGTGTGGTTGTGTGTATGTGTATTTACGTGTGTGTGTGTCTGTCATGGAAATTTGCATGAAGAAGCGTCGCTGTACGGGTGTCAAATTCATTTTAGCATTTTAAATATTTACACGTTGCACATTTGCATGTGCGATGCAGGTTTCTTAGAGCCATCAGATTAGGCCAAGATGACCTCGCTCGCCATGCTTAAATATGCCGCTTGTGAAGGCGCACAAAGGCCTCGGCTTTAGAATTTATAATTCATTCTCATTTCATTTGCATAATCTTGGTCGTATTACGTAACAAAGGAGCTCACACACACACACACAAAGGACTTGTCAAATTCTAAATATGAGTCACTTGATGGCTTCTGGCCAGCCGCCGAGCTTGGTCTATTTTAGTATTTACGCGATGAGACTTTAATTTCGAAACAAAAATAACCATTTAATATTTATGGCATAACTTTATGACACTGTGCTGGCATGAAAAAGGATTTGGGCTTTGCTAATAATAATGAAACACAATCAGTAATAAAATTAAACAAAAGCATTTGACACTTTTATTAAATTTTGTGCTGGCGAGCGCCATGCATAATTCATGGCCCTCAGTCCGAGGGCTCTGAAACAATTACTTAAGAGCTTTCCTTTGGTGGCATGGGATCATTTGCCTTTGCTTATATCCAAAGTCGTTTTAATTAAACTTAAATGCAAGGGAAACCCAAGAAACTCAAATACATAAAGGGTTCACTTTAATGTTGATAAATCATTCTCAAGCGCCTATAATAAATATAAATTCTACTTAATATGTGAGCAAAATAATCTCAGACTTACTGGTTATGCCTCATAGTGTGAGTGATTTCTTAAAATTATTTTCCCCTACTTACTATTTTGTATTCCTGTTGCCTTTCCCAGAAATGTCAACTCAAATATTCCGGCTACTCATACTCTCTAATACTTTAGTATTGCAGGCAATTGACATCTTTCATATGCCAGCCATCATTGATTTCCGTTTAGTTGGCTCGCTGGCTCGTTGTGGCATAAGTCGGAAATGAATCGATTGCGTTTATGCGATATTACGTCTTGTCTCTGCCATATGTCATGTGTCATATGTATGTGCCAACTGTTGAATGTTCTCCAGCACTTTCTTTGTGTGTGGGTGTGTGTTTGTTGTGTGCACAGTAAAATTTATGTCCATGAATATATTTTCATTTTGCCAGCTGAGTGCTGACAGGCATCTCACAGCACGGGTACTTATTGCATTTATGTACATGGATACTTCAATAAATTTTTACAGATATGGATAATTGTATTTATTGGCACAGGCTTGAGAATGTTTCAATAATGTAATATATATACTTTGGTTTATGGTCCTTATTCTCGCACTCTTAAAACATCCTTTAGGATGCCACCAATCCCTCTTAGTATTATTGTTTCCTCCACTACGACAAACTAAAAAATTTCTTGTCTCATGATTGTTGCTTAATTTAAACCAAAATTTAGAATGTTTGTGTCGATCCAATTATAAATATGAAAACATTAAAAAATAACTTCAAATTTGTACAACTAATTAATGGTCAGTCTGCTGGAATAGTTCAAGAATAGTTTAAAGAAAAATTAAAAGAATAAGGAGGATAGTTAACTGTAAAGTTTCCACAGTCTTTCAGCTTTCAAGACATACATTTATTTTTCCTTACTTTTTTGCATTTTTATTCATGTAAACAAGTGTAAAATATATATTCTAGTATTATAATCCCAATTAAACGACATGATGACATGATTAACGATCATGATGAACTAAATTAAATTATTTAAATCTTACAAGATTTGTATTTTTGTATTATCAACATTAACATACATACTTAGTAAGCAGTTATTTTTCTGTTACATACTCTACACAGTTTAATTTCACTAACACCACAAAATACACTACAAAAATATCTCACAAAATATCGAAATAAAAAAATATATACATATAAAACATATAAAAAAAATGGATCTGGATGAAGAAGACATCTACTGGCCTCCACAAAACACGAATACATTCGGCATACCAAATGAACCGGAACTGCTCAATGAGTATGAGCTGTACAAGCCTTCGAAGGGCACGCGCATGCTAATCAGCGAGCGAAATCGAGAGGCCTATGCGGAGGCTTTTATAGAAAATCAGCGTCTCGGTACTTTGGCGGACTTATGTGTGCGTATCTTGGCCAAGCGGGGAACGAGGAACATTGCCTTGCCCGTGCAGCAGGATCCACTGAAGCTGCGAATTCATTATGATTCAATCGATGTCGATTTACCTCTAAACAGGTGCTATTTTGTCGATGATTTACGATACTGGCAGCGGGTGGTACTGTCCAAGTCATCTGATAAGTCACTGCATCATAAAAAGATTCATGAATACGACTGGAGGGGCACGGGCCTTAGTATTAAGTTTATCGAGTTAGTCGAAGCTTGTCCTGCTGAGTTTTGGCCTGAAGCCAAAATGGCAAAGCTCGCTCGGAAAATACGGGATAGTGTTCGATCAATGCATATTAAACATTTGCAATCTCTCAAGGACTATTCCTTCGAACAGTATATACAAAGCGAGTCGGAAATTGATGTCACATCGGAAGAATCAGATGAGGTAATAATATCTAGCGATGAACCCGACACAGTTGAAGAGGAAGAGGAAGCCGAAGAAGAGCACGAAACAATACACAATGCGAGCAAAAGACCCTCGGCGACCCTTGGCTTAGTAAAATCGACGCACTCAGCTCAGTATCAAGAGAAACAACATGTCACAGGAAAGTCTGTTGGGCTTATGCCGGCGGTTGATGATTTGGATCAGGGTGACGACCTAGGTATTGACGAACGAACTATGGAACGTCGAAAAGCTCGATATGCTCGGAATGCACAAAGGCAGTTACTGAGGGATCTGCAGTTGCAAAAGAAAGAAGAGCATGATCGACGCCTGCGTCGCCGTTCTCTTTTGCGGAAGCCTCGTGTGGAGGAAACGGTAGTAAAAAAACGCAGGCGCAAGAAAAAAATCAGGGGTGTGTTTGATATTGAAGTAGAACCGGAGCCTGATGATGGCGAAGACAAAATTCCAGATAAGCGGAACAAGGAAAAGCTGTTACAACGCATCAAGCGTTACAATTATCCATCGGAGCATTGCCACCATATTGATTTGAGTTTTGTACGATGGTTCGACAATCTTGTATCATTCACTTTGGAGTTTCTGGGACCCCATATGGGTCTAGATTATCACAATCGGCATTTGAACTTCTCTTTAGATGACATAATACGTCTTTCAAAGTGAGTAATATATGTAAAATTGTATCGATCCAACTACTTATATCTACTTGTATGTTCGTTTAGGGGTCTGAGATCATTAGACAAGTTGAAAATTTTTCGATTGCGCAATAGCCGCATGGATAATATTAAATTACAGATCTTGGCACGCGCTTTGAAGAGCTTGGACACGATTGAAGTAATTGATCTCGGATTCGATCAGCTGTCTGATGATTGCGGAACCTCGTTGGGAACATTATTTGAAAACGAAAACTCCCTCAAAGTATTAGAATTGGAAAACAATCGGTTGAGCAAAGCCGCCATGGATTCCCTAGGTATTGCACTCAGTTTTTATGATCATCACAATTTGGAGTATCTGGGCTTGGCGCACAATCCTTTAGGAGATGAAGGACTGAGTGCCATATGCAGATACATCCTGGGAACTAATCATGTAGAAGAACTTAATCTGTCAGGCATCGATGCTACTAGGATAGCTGTGCAACGCTCAGTTGCCACATTGTTGAGAAATCATGAGCCACTACGTCGCTTACATATTGCGGCTATACCCTTGGATCCGCACCTTACAAAAGGCATTATTCGGGCCTTGGAGACCAATCACAAAGTTGTACATTTCGATTGCCGTGAGTGTGGCTTTGACAGTGATGAGGAGTTCGAAGCAGACCTTATAGTTCGACGTAACAACTTTGAGTTGGATAACACATATTTGGGCGATACTACCAAAACTGAGGAAGATATCATGGAGTACATTAATAATGTTAGGTAAGTAGAACGAAATTGCATGTCTTTATTTTTCTAAACGGCCTCATTATAAAAAGACATCCAATATTGCAAAAAGTTGAGAACAACATTTCGTGCCAAGATGAATGCATAAAAAATCGTCCTGATAAAACACCAAGTGAGCCTAGCGTGGAGGAAGAAGAGGTGGAGGAGGAGTACGATATATGGGCTGTGCTGGGGATCAAAGCAAGCTTGGCGCCCCATAAACCCGAACCGGAGCCAGAGCCGGAACCACCGCAAGTGGAGGAATCAGAGCTCGATTTGGGCCCCTTTGTGTATGACCCTAATTCTTTTGATATGGACCAGTTTAGAGAGTTCGTGAATAATCCAGGTCCAGAAAACCGTTTCGAATACTTCCAAAAGAATAAAGAACCCTAAAAAGGAGATTAAAACGGTATTTTCATTTACATTCAGTCTTATATTCGCTGCAAAAAATTGTCTTGGACAAAGTATCTACATATATCGGGAGGTTTTGCAGATCGAACGTTGTAGGTATGATCGGTATGATGTTCAGTTGAGTCAATGTCATGATGAAAAAGAAGGTTTGTCTGCGAGGAGCGGACATCGCGTCTTGATCATATAAATATATAGTATATGTATAATGTTCGGTGTACCATTCTTAATTGTGAGTTTTACAAACATGCACAACAAAACCAGTGTACAATTATACCTTTTCTTGAAGGTATCAAAGTACTTGTGTATTTAAAATCACATTTTCCAAACTTCTCATACACGCAGAATCTTTTTTTTCTATCACCACTAAATAAAACTAGCAACTACCATAACAAACATTGATTACATTACATGAAATGGATTTAGAGGAAGAGGATACATTCCTGCCCCCACAACACACGAATAAATTCGGTATACCAAATGAACCGGAACTGCTCAATGAGCATGAGCTGTACAAGCCTTCGAAGGGCACGCGCACGCTACTCAGCGAGCGGGATCGAGAGATATATGCGGAGGCTTTTATAGAAGACCCCCGCCTCTTAACTTTATCGAATTTATGTGTGCGTATCTTGGCCAAGCGGGGAACGAGGAACATTGCCTTGCCCGTGCAGCAGGATCTACTGAAGCTGCGAATTCATTATGATTCCATTGATGTTAACCTACCGCTCAAGCATTGCTACTTTGTGAAGGATGTGCGCTACTGGCAGCGGGTGGTACTGGCCAAGTCTTCAGATAAGTCCCTGCGACTCAAGAAGTTTCAAGAGTACGATTGGAGGGGCAAGGGTCTTAGTATTAAGTTTGCCGAGTTGGTCGAAGCTTGTCCTGCTGAGTTTTGGCCTGAAGCCAAAATGGCAAGGCTCGCTTGGAAAATACGGGACAGTGTTCGATCAATGCATATTAAACATTTGCAATCTCTCAAGGACTATTCCTTTGAACAGTATATACAAAGCGAGTCGGAAATTGATGTCACATCGGAAGAATCAGATGAGGTAATAATATCTAGCGATGAACCCGACACAGTTGAAGAGGAAGCCGAAGAAGAGCACGAAGATATTCCAGAGCCGGCGAAAGAAAACAAAACCAAACTCAAGGCGACAAAAAGAGTTTCAATTACGGGCTCCGTAAAATCTGCAAAATCGTCGCATTCAGTTCGTTATCAGGAGGAGCAGCGAAGTACAGAAAAGTCGGTCAGGCGTAGTAAAGAGGATAAGCATGTGGAAAAGAGTGATTATTTAGGATTTGGAGTTGATGAACGAACGATGGAACGTCGTAGAGCCCGCTATGCTCGGAATGAACAAAGGCAGTTACTGAGGGATCTGCAGTTGAAAAAGAAAGAAGAGCGTGAGCTACGCCGGCGTCGCCGATCTCTTTTACGGAAGCCTCCAGTGGTTGAGGAAATTTTTGTTAAGAAACGCAAGCTTAAGAAGAAAATCAAGGGGGTTCTAGATATTGAAGTAGAGCCGGAACCGGATGATGGCGAAGACAAAATTCCAGATAAGCGGAACAAGGAAAAGCTGTTACAACGCATCAAGCGCTACAATTATCCATCGGAGCATTGCCACCATATTGATTTGAGTTTTGTACGATGGTTCGACAATCTTGTATCATTCACTTTGGAATTTCTGGGACCCCATATGGGTCTAGATTATCACAATCGGCATTTGAACTTCTCTTTAGATGACATAATACGTCTTTCAAAGTGAGTAATATATGTAAAATTGTATCGATCCAACTACTTATATCTACTTGTATGTTCGTTTAGGGGTCTGAGATCATTAGACAAGTTGAAAATTTTTCGATTGCGCAATAGCCGCATGGATAATATGAAATTGCATATCTTGACGCGCGCTTTGAAGAATTTGGAGACGATTGAGGTAATTGATCTCGGATTCGACCAGCTGTCTGATGATTGCGGGACGTCGTTGGCAGCTTTATTCGAAAACGAAAGCTCCCTCAAAGCCTTGGAATTGGAAAACAACCGGCTAGGCATTAACGCAATGGATTCATTGGGTATTGCACTTAGATTTTATAATCATCATAGCTTGGAGTATCTGGGCTTGGCGCACAATCCTCTAGGAAGTGAAGGACTGAGTGCGATATTCAGACACATTATGGGAACCAAGCATGTACAAGAGTTAAATCTGTCAGGCATTAATGGCGACAAGATAGCTGTTCAACGTTCAGTTACTACTTTGTTGAGAAATCATGAGCCACTACGTCGCTTACATATTGCGGCTATTCCCTTTAATCCGATTCTTGGAAAGGGCATTATTCGGGCCTTGGTGTCAAATCACAAAGTTATACATTTCGATTGTCGTGAATGTGAATTTGAGAGTGATGAAGAGTTCGAAGCAGACCTTATAGTTCGACGTAACAACTTTGAGTTGGATAACACATATTTGGGCGATACTACAAAAACCGAGGAGGATATTATGGACTACATTAATAATATGAGGTAGGTAAAAAAGAAATACTGCAGCAACTGTTTTAAAATCTGCTTTATTGTAGACACCCAATATTGCAAAGAGTACATGAGCATATTATGTGCAGAGACGAATGCATTAAGTATCGACCTGACAAAACACCAAGTGAGATTAGTGTGAAAGAAGAAGAACCGGTGGAGGAGGAATACGATATTTGGGCAGTTCTAGGAATCAAAACAAGTTTGGCACCTCCAAAACCAGAACCGGAGCCAGAGCCGGAACCTCCAACAGTAGAGGAATCAGATCTTGATTTTGGTCCGTTTGTGTATGACCCTAATACGTTCGATATTGATCAGTTTAGAGAATTCGTTCACAATCCAGGTCCCGAAAATCGCTTTTATTATTTACAAAATAATAAAGAGCCCTAAGCTGGGTTGCTGTACATGGTGTTTTAAAAAGTAAACAGACTTCTAGAAAGCATTTCATAGCATTGGCTAAACTGGTTTACTTCAGGTATACGCTGCTAGAAAATGGCCGTAGTGACCAGAATATTTTCGTTTATTTCCATCCTATCTCTTATCTATTGAAAAATCAATTGACTTTGCTACAATTATTGTTTGTATTGTTTATTTTTTAAAAGTTTGGTTTACTTTAGAACTTGCCTAGAATTTGGTATGTTTGTATTGCCATCGATTGTAGAAGAATGTATAAACAAAATTCCCCACTTTTCCTGCACTAATGATAAAAACCGCCTTGAAACCTTAAGAATCGTAGGATACACATTTTTTAGCCAGCATTGTATGGAACTTAAATTAACAACAAAAATTAGGAGAAAAAACTGGCTACTGTGTTGACAGTTATCCCGACGTAAACACGCATTGTAATGTCTAACAAGCTTCACATTCGCATCACATGGCACGTCACTCAACATTGTTGACAGGCCAAGTTGTGTACGTTCAATATGTTTGTGTGACTTTGGTATTTACATATTAAGGTTTTTTCAAGTGTGTAGCAAAAATAAAATGTTTGCCTGAATTAAGCGCTTCACACATCCATTAAAGAGATGTGTGAAGCGCTTAATTTTCTAATCTATTAGCTATTAGGACTCCAGAAACTGGTAAAATGATCTTCTCAATTGCGAAAATTAAATCAAACTGCTCTTGCGGCTGCCTTTTGAGTGTCAAAACACGCAACTTTTGTTTCTGTAATCGAATTTTCGATGGCAATAAATTCCATGACATTTAATTCATTTTGATGTGCGTCCCAAAGGGAAATGCAATTTCGGCAGGAAGCGCAAAAATGGCTGCGCAAAACTGATTTGTTTAATACGATTTGCTTGGAGACTGATGTCGCCCGAACACGAAATGCAAGGCGATAGCTGTAACAGTGTATTAACAGCGCACTGTTAACGTCATGTTATATTCTCAGAGTGCGACGACACACGCTGTGTTTGATGCTTACTGAGAGCAAAAGCAATGGTCAAAGCCATTCATAAACAGCCGAAGAGAGCGGACACGAGAGAGCAATGATTGAGTTGTTGTTGGCGCCGAAGGAAGCTGTCTAAGGAATCTGTTGCCGTATACGTAATAAAAACGTGGCGCACAGCATCCACGAGCAACAGTAGCGGATGCAGCTTTCGATGAGCAAAACCAGCTCAACGGTTATTACGTAGCCGCTGTGTATGACAGACAAACGCCGACGATAGGCTGTTCTGCGTGAGAAGTTGTGCGTGAAGTGATAAAGCGCTACATTACTGTGGAAAAATTAATTGAAATGCTTTAAAAATGTATGTGCATGGCGATAATTAACATAAAATATATAATTATACAATTAGCTGGCCTGTGCGGGAAAGTGTGCGAGTAAGAGTGCGGAATGCAATTAATTAAATGTGTAAAGGGAAATGCAATAAGTGACGGCGCATTGTCTAAGTGGACAAAGCGGAAAAAATGCTTAAATTAATGAAGCATCATCCTCTTTATAATAATATACAACAATTAAAATGCAAAGCATTCATTTTTTTTTTTTTGCAGAATGTATATAATTGAGTATTATGCAAATTTGATTTAAAATTAATTTCCTTAATCAGTTGACTACCAGCAAGTGATGCGAAAATTGTCATAAATTGAATGAAATCAAATATTGCCCATACGCCACGCGGCTCTACCTAAGGGGAGTGAAAGGCAGCGTGGACAATTCGTTTATTAAAAGTTATGGCAATTGCTTTCGGCATTGCTTTGTTCCATGCCGCTATCAAACTGTCCTATGCAGCAGTGTATGTGTGTGTTTGTGTGTGTGTGTGTGTGTGTGTGTTTGCCTTTGTTTTTGCCATTGCTACTGCCATTGCCTATAGCAGCGCGCTAATTTCTCACACTTCAAACGTCTGGCAATTCCGTTTATGTCGGATGCTTTCATTTCGCCTCACGTTCTGATTTCCGCTCTTGCTATTTTTGCCATTTTTGTTTTGCCTTCCCTTTCTCGAATTGTTTGGCTCGAGTGTTTGCCTGTGTCTCTGGTTGTGAGCGCCATTTGTGTGTGTGTGTATATTTGTGTATTATTGTTTGCCTTTTCTGCCATAAATTAAGTACACTGACAGTGCATTTACCTCGCATTGTTTGCCGATAAACAGTTTATGCGAATTTAAGCCCGACATTAGGCGTAAGAACAAAAACAATCCTTTCAACGTACACTACGTGTCTTTGCACTCTCTTTTGGCTCCTCAAGCCTTTTATGTGCGTTTCCTTTTGCCATTTTTATGATTACTTAATGGCGTTTATTTCGTTATAATATATATATATATAAGTACTATATATAGTCGCAGGCTGGCAGGCACTTTTCTGTGAGCCGCTTAGAAATTGGCCACATCAAGCAGCTGACAAGGCGGTGCTCCTGATTTTGCGGTTCCCAAAGGCGCCGCTGCGGCTACTTTGCTAAGTCGTGTTGGCTTACGTAAGGAACGGCACGTTCATGGTGATGTGAAACACTTGTTGGCTGGATGGCTGCCTACCATTTCACAATTCTAGCACGTAGCATTGGCAAATCACAGTTGGGCGATTACCAACTTCGCAAATGAATTGAATATTGGAAATGAATGTGGGTAATAGCGGTAGTTGGCAATGTGTATGTGTTTTAGTATGTGTGTCTGTTACGCTAAAGTAAAAGTTACATTCAATAGCATTGCAGTAAATTAAACATGTGCAGAGTGGATTAGCATGGCTCACTGGATGTGATGCCTACTTATTGGCGCCAATAATCTGAATCTCCTTTGTATGGATGCCATTACTATTACATAGAGTTACATTCAATTTATTTGTTACAACATGGAAAACAGCAATAAGATAATGCATATTTTATTGTTTCCTAATACGAATATTTTGTTAGAGGATTAGTTTTGATTATTTCTCCTATACTCTTTTTATTCATCTGAAAACCGATTAAGCTTTGTGCAAATTACGTATTATATTCAACTGCGACCAAACTGGGTATGTAGATTCTGTTATTCCAGGCGCAGCACGAGTTTATTTTGTTTTTTGATATGCCTCCCCCTTTCTCCTCTAGCCAAGTCAGCGGCTTTATTCATCTTTGTATTCTTTTTGCTTTTGTTATGTCAAGCATTTTGTTATACGGACTTTTTCTGTTTTCTTTTAATTCAATTGTGTAAGATTGAAACAGGTTTCAGCTTGAGATAGCCCAAGGTAGGCTGGGTATTTCAGGGAATACATTTGGCTTTATAAAAGAGTTATCCCCACGTTGTACCGTATGTTTTGACTATCGCTCATGAAAAGGTTCTTATTTATTAGTGATCAAAGTCCTAGATAAAATATAGCCACTGTTGTTAAAAATACGTTTAAGATATGTTAAAATGTCTTGAATGGTGGTCTATGATGGTCGATTTTGCCTGGTTCCATAAGTTTTCTAGTAGCTTTCGAATTATCTTTAGAAATGCAAAATCTAGCATCAGCTCGCACAGGGGACATACATAAATAAGAAACGTCAAGGAAGTTATTAAAAGGCTTGAGCTGGATGTTTTTTAAGCGAACGCATATTGTATAGTGCTCATGATGAAGAATATTTTAAAGGACAAGCCCATTTCTTTGTTGACCTTTTCTATTTTCGAAAGATTAGTGACATAACTGTACCTTTAAGTCACTTTTTTTGCGTTGAGATTCCTAATCTTTAATATTTTTCTTACTCACTTAAATATATTATAGTAGACTTACTTTTGAAGAATATCAGTGCCTCCTTTGAATGCCAAGATTTGTCAGCTAATTAGTGGTTTCTTTTCTTTGTACTACATTTGAATTATAATTAGGCTTACCAGATAAATATTAAGTATAAATACAATTTAAAATTCAATTGAAAATCACAACTTTTTTGAAATAAACATAGAATTGTAGTCCTATTCTCTCAGCAGAAACTGCATACATCCAAGTGCATATATGAAAATCAAAGCATAAGCGAATGAAAATAGCGCGTATATTTAGTGTCAAGTGTTAAAATGAAAAGCACAAGTGCATGCTCCGAGAATAGAAACAGCAGTAGTTACGAGTACAACAACAAAAACATAGTGGACGTGCATACCAACAACAAGTACAACAACAATAGCAACAAGGATATCTGCAAAGTGTAAAGAAGAAATGCAACACTTGGCGAGCTTGGAGCGCAAAAATAAACAGCACTAAGCAACGACTTAAAACTAAACAAATCCGACTGGAAACGTCAGACCGTGTGAAGGAAGGTCGTTGAGTACACTGTGTGTGTGTGTGTGCGTGGGTGTGTGTGCTTATTTATCTGCTAAACAAACAAACCGAAAAAGACTGCAACTTGCAACGACAATAGGAAGAAAGGGAAATGTGCGCGTAAGCACGCGATTTTGTGCAATAATGTTATCCGAGAAGTCGAACAACAATTGCAGCAACAGCATTATTTGGATTATCTGCAATAACAATAGCATGAGCCGAAATCGAGGAAACAGTATGGCAAGCCAAAGTTCCTTGTGGTTTCATCTCTTCTTGATTTGCTGCTCCTGCCATATTCTGGGATTACTTCAGTTGGCTGCGGGTAAGTGACACTGTGATGCATTAGCATGTAATTTGATTTTGATTGTTACGCCAGCGCTTTATTGTGACACGAAATATGAAATTCATTTTACAGCGTTATTAAATCTGTATTATACAAATTGCAGCATCGCCCATTTTATGGACGAGCGCAAATTGTGTTTTTCACATTCCGCCATTTTATGCTATAATGAGCGCAGCCTTTTGATTTAATGACAACTGTCGTGGCAGGCGATTTATGTGAGCATTGCATAAAACGTCCAGGCATACCAGCACATCCACATCCCCATACACACACACACTCATGTACATTTAATCCTGCCTGTGATTTATGACCAGAAGTGAAGCTGCAAGGAGCGAGTGGTTGCCTTTTCATTTCATCTTCCTTTTTTTATGATAATTTATAAAATATGTAAGTATGAAAAGGCTGAGCGTTTGACTTTAGCATTTTATTGCGCAGCTGTTTTCATATATATTATATACATATATTACATCTTACGAGTATGTGTACACAAGTACATACATCAGCCGGGGAACAGCTTGTTGAAATGAATTCGTAAATGGCTATAAAGCACTTATAAATACATACATAAATACCTATATGCAGCTATAAGCAATCTCAGACACAAGTAGGCCAGGTTTATTTCCCTTATACCCTTGCCATTTTAAAACCCCTACAGTGATTACCGTAAACAAGCAGAAAACGCCAAAAGGCGAATCAATAACGGCTTATTTCCCACTTCTGCTCCTCCACACCTTCTTCTGTTACCACAGCCCTGCCGTTTGAATATTTCGACGAACACGATGATTTGAACTACGACTTGGATACGGTCCAATCTCAGGCCAAATACGACGCACACCTGCTATCTGAGCAAATGCTGAGCGATGCCGAGCTCGAGCAGAAGCCGGACACGGGCATTGGCACGACCGGCAGCAACAAGGAACAACAGCAGCAGGAGGAGGATAATATGGAACCACATAGCCGAGCGGCTGCCTGTTTTACAAATGGCCGAAAGTACACACATGGACAGAAGGTAGGGCACACAGATTATATATGTATATGTATACCAGTAGGTACGTATGCCGTATATAATATACACTCAGAAAAAATTAGAACGAAAATACTTGTATTACTCAGATCCGACTTGCATTTAACTGAAATAAAAATGCAATAATCTGAATGGTAGGGTTTCAGCGGCCTAATGGTAGGATTAAGAGATTTGAGTATATGGCATTTTTTTTATAGATAAGCATCATCCGTATTAGAAAAACAATATTATAAAAAGTTAAAGATTTCAACATCCAATGGCACAAATCACAATTTTCCAAATAAACACAAAAAATTCAAAAATCCGTACGAGGTTATTGGGCTTAGGATGAATGCTAGTAACATATAGATTCCAAATTAAACACAATTACTATATCTCAACAACAATCATTGTTCCGTACATTTCGATATTTAGATTTCTGCTGAGCTCACAGCTATATAGTATATCTAAAGGTTCTTAAATGTCTATTAAGCTTGGTTGTGTCTTGATTTTCATTCTTTTTAAAAGAAAATTTATTTAATAACAAACACATTATCTTTATTGTTATTTACTTTTGAGGAATTCATTCTGCAGACTGTTGAACGTAAGAATGAACTTATGAGTAAGCTCCATTCTTCGACTAAAGACTACAGATTAGCCTTCCACTGCTAATCAAAACTCATGTATTCATAAAAGTCATATTTTTGTGATTCTGCTCAAGTTTCCTACGTACAAATTCTGCACAGCCTTAACAAAATATGGCCAAAAAATTTGTAAAAACAAACTCGGAGGCTGACTTAAATTTGCTGGTATTTTTATTTGCTGTAAATGTTTGGTGAACCCCTTTGGTTTGACAACATTTGACAAGCATAAAACATTTTCGGCATTTGCCTTCAATATAATATTTTATGTGCTTGATTAACGTGCTTGATTGTTAGTAACAGCCAAGTTGATTCTAAAGAATATCAATCTAGCCTAATTATTACTTGTGTAAAACAATTTTAGAAATTCCAATTCAAATAAACTCGCAATGTTGTTGCTATGAACTCCCTACAATTAAATCACAAATACTACAAACATAAGCCGTTTATATCCGTTTTGCATTATAATTGGCTTCTTGACGACGCGACGATAAAGGCATGCATATGCAAACATAAATATCAATTTGTGAACGATAGACACTTGAAAAGCACTTTGGGCGCTCTTGTCAAGTGAATCCCTTGGCCCCGTATTTAGTTTCGGTTATATGGAAAGATTCGTTGTAAGCATTATTTTTTGGTTGTACGCCCGAAAAATGCTTGAAACTGTTTTTAACACACACCATACACGTATGTATTATATGCAAATTTCTATTACACGTTCTTTATTTTTTTGAAAGGTACGGCGCTGGGATCCGTGCGAGGTTTGTCTCTGCATGGACGGTGAAATATTTTGCTGGTGGGAGAAATGTGGTAAGTTTGGTAAACTCAAACCATCGTCTTGTCTTTATATACATGGACATTTTGCCGTCTATTTACATTGCACAGACAAGGCTAATGTAAGCACTGAAGCGAATGAGTACTCGGACCCGTACCGCTACGAGACCACGACAAAATCTTTCACAAAACTTTATAAAGCGCCAAGGAGAGTTGGGAAGCGGCATAAGCATCATAAGAATCAAAAGAATTTTAATGACTACCAAGTTTATCACAGCCACAAGCAAGCAGATTATAAAAAGGAACACATAAAGCAACTGAAACAAAAGAGCAACGCCAACAACTACAATAAAATCAAGGAACACAAACATACCGAGCTGCAGCAGCAACATCAAAACTTGCAACCAGTTACGGTGACGGAGGCAGTGGCAGCAACAACAGAGGAAGTTGAAGTCTCGGCAGCCGCGACTGCGACGGCAGCGCGTGTTAATCAGGCTGCCAAGGAAATGCATTATCAGCAGCAGCAACAGCAGGAGCAGGAGCAGCAGCAACATTTGCAACAACTTCATGAGCAGCAATTGGAACGCACACACCAACACCACCAGCAACAACATGCACACACACATCCATCCCATTCGTCGCATGCGTCCAGCAAGATATTAAATTTCCCCGAAAACTTGCCCTCCCTGCTCTATTATGACTACAAAACCGAAGAGCATGAGCATCATCAGCACCAACATCATCAGCAGCACTTACTTCACCAGCAGCAGCGACTGCAGCAGCAGCAACAACAGCAACAGCAACAACAAGAAGCCTTAGTACTGCACCGGCAACCACAAGGGCCTGGGTCCATTGTGACGTCAGCAGACCCACCCACAGCTTCTCGACAACGTGCACTTGAAGCAGGCGTTGAACTCAGCAGCAGCAGCCGCAATAGCTTTGATGATGCGGAAACTGACAGCGATATTTTGCCCGAGCCACCAACGAAGCGTCCGAAGGCAACAAGGACGACAACTAAGACGGCAACAACAACAACAACAATGAGCATGGCCAAGGCGTTGATGACATCGTCAGCATCCTCGTCGTTGTCGTCATCGCTGTCAGTGTTGACAACAGAAAGCCCGGCAGCACCAATTCCAGAAACAATGGCGGCGAAAGTTACGGTGAAGGAAACCGGCAAGCAGGCGTCAGCTGACAAGTCAAATGAAATGCCACAGGAACCCATGGCAACAGGCCCGGACACGGACAAGCCAGGGGACATAAATACAGCCATGCACAAAAATGTGAGTAACCGCAGCTGTATGCACATCTATTGTGTATGCTCGCCTATATTTTGTTCCAAGCCCACAGTCGAACCCAAAAGCAGTTTCCAACTGCAACTGAAAATGGAACTGACACTACGAAACTACGCTTTACAGAGCTGTACGGTCTAGCTACATTTATAAGAGTTGCTGTGATATAAGCATAGTTCTAGTAACTAACATTTCCGGTGGTAATTACAACTAATTCTGTTTTTACACGGTTTTGATTTAACGCGGTTTTATAATTAAAAATTTTATATATGGTTGCACGACTTTATTCCATTTAGCACGATTCAAAATAACATATGATCAACGTCTTTTTACACGACTTTTTCCAATGTACCGTGTAAAAACAAAATTAGGTGTAAAATGGATCCAGAGTTAGCTAATATTTCTCGCATTCGCTCTGACTTAGTTTATATTCTACATCAGACTCTATAATGTTCCACATAAAAGTATAAGCTTCTTTTCTCAAGTTCTGCTCAAATAGAAATGTGTCTTAGGGCCGCAGTAAAATGTAATTAAGTCAAGCTCATATTAAGCGCTTAGCTTCAACTATTTGGGGCACATCAGAATCACTCTGTTCCTCATGGATTTTACTTGGATTTTAATCCTAAGTTACAAGCAGTCCAAATACAATGATGTGTATCGCTTTAAAAATAAACTCTTTTTGCAAGTTGGCTTGCATACCGCATATACACCTTCGTCTAGTCTAGTTCACAGCAATGCGATACAACAATTCGTAGTATATCTAGTACAGTATTATAGCATAGTGTAATTTATTTGCGCTGCTCCGAGCCAATTCAACGCCAGCTCGGTCAAAAGCTCTGCAAGTGGATACAATTAAGTTGCTGGCATTTTTGTTATGTTTTTAGACTTGCCCTTTATAGCTATGTGGCTGGGTTTCCAATTGAATTTTTCATGCTTCAGCTAATTTATTATTTATATGCTTTTAACGTTTATGAAGGCTGTGTCGTATAATTTATGAATCTCAAAGTTTATCAAGTGCATTAAAATGCTATTTGGTTGGGTTATTTTCTGTGTGGGTTGAAAACTTAATAGAATCGTTAATATATTTTATGTATTGTGTAGCAACATAATATTGAAGAGCATGATCGCGAGATGGAGGAGCTTGACGATGCATTCCATCGCTGGTTAACATCGACGGAACTCAATGTTGACAGTGAGAACACAAACACGCTGGACGATAACCTGACAGCCAGCGAACAGGAAACATCAGCATCAACAATAATCGATGATGTCGGCAGCAACCAGGGTGGAAGCAAGAGTAACAATATTACAGAAGCAAATGTCACTGCACATGCTGATACGCCGGCGGATGGGCAGGACACGGGTCACAAGGATACTGGCTATGGCAATAGCATCGGCATCGGGAACGGCAACACCAACACCAACAATATTGCAGACAATGCCGATGCCGTGTTCTTTCGCAGCTCCTACAACGATTACAGCAGCGAATTCAATGGCAGCGTCGTGAACATTGACATAACACTAACAGCAGTCGATGTCCATCCCCAGCACTTGCATCAGCAACCGAAGCAAGCGCCAGAATCAACTCAAATGCTGGCCAAGGTGGTGCAAGCCGATTTAATTGCGAATGACAACAAAACAGCAACAGCAACAGAACCGCCAACGTTACATGCGAACCAAGAGCAACAACAGCAACAGCCACCCTATATGCTGACAAGCATTATAACAACAGATACAACAACATCGCCGGTGCCAACGGAGCGTATGTGCAATGTTCTGGGTAAGTTGCAGGCGACATTGGGATAAAAGCCTAAAAGCTTTGCGTTTCCTTAAAACGTATGGTAGTTGCTCAGAATGTTCAGATTTCGGTATATTTCAATCTTTGTTTTATAATTGCGGGGCATAACAGCAATACTAACACTTGGGAAAACCCATTACTTTATTAATCCATCGTTTAAAATATCAAAATAGTACCAAATGAATTAGTAGACTTAAAGGAAGAGTATTATATTATTAGGTTTCTTTTAAACTAGTATTTTGTATTATTCTTGTATTTTATTTGTATTATTACGCTATTTATATTTATTAATTAAATCAAGACCAAATTTGTTTATTGGTCTTTAAGTTAAAGTCTATATCGAATTGCCAGATTGACATTCTTTTATTTGATTATATTTTAGAGATAGTAAATCGAGTAATAAATTCGACTAATTACAATAAAGGTTTGTTTTTAGTTAATTCTATTCACAACGTTTTTTATTGAAAGGTTCTGTTTTGAACATCTTTTCCCCGTCTAAGCACCACAGCTTAAAACATGAATATGTAAAATATTTCTAGCTTTTAATTGTTTTCTATTATTTTTAAAATTTGTGAAATTATTGTGGACTTTATCCCATAGTGGGCCCAAAAGTTTGCACAACAACCCTAATCCATTGTAATGGCCATGGTTCGTCGCTGGTTTTCTCGTTGCAGGCAAATTGTACAAAATTGGCGACATTCTGCCACAGGACACCGGAAACTGTTTGCAATGCATTTGCACGGATGCCGTCACGCCTGATGAGCAGCCCAGCGTGACCTGCAGCCCTCACAATTGCCCGCCGCTCGTCCTCCCCGATCTATTCGATGCGACTGGTTACTGAGGTTACGGGTTTGTGCTGTAAGTTGCATGGCCGTCTAAATTGGGATTCAAACAACATTTTGGTCGCGGCTATCTTCCATTGACGAGCTGATAAGTGTGAACAATTGAAATTCGAATGGAATGGAATGCGAATGCAAAAACAGCTTTCAGAACTGGACATTATTGTTTTACTCTCCAACTCTATTACAACGGCAGCACATATGTATACACATATATGTGAAATATGGAACTATATGACCTACATATTTAAAACAAAACAATATACATATAGCCCTACACACAACTCTTGAGCAAATCTCACAATTATACATACATATACATATGGATTTCAATGTAAAGCCCTCCCTATCATGAGTCAGTGCACTCAATAAAACAAATAACTACATACGAGTACATATATAGTGAACAAAACAAACCAAACATATTTACGCATCTATATGCATATTTATTGAGCTGGGCATAATGCAGGCGCGAGGATAAGAGAGAGCAAACTTTAGTTTTTAAGCTGAATGTTTATGAATTTTACAATTTACAAAAGATGTTAAAATAAATGTGAATGATTGAAAAATGAAAGAATTATCAGCACATTGAGATGAAATGTGTCCCAAATCGAGCGTCAAACAACCCCAAATATCTAACCTTTACCTTCCATTCGCTAGAGGTCAACCAGAATGTAATAAATGTATACACCAGTAGAACTTTTAAAGAATTTATAGATGTACTTACCAACTACATACAAGAAGGAAACTAAAGATTTTTCACTGTGAAAACCTTACAACTCTCAACAAAACCACAATAAATGCAGTCGTTTTTGTTTTGAAAATTCATTTAGACATTTACTTCAAACGTTCATGACTGAAGTGGTGGCATAAAGTGGCAAAAAGTTCGTCACATACATACATATACATATATTTCTATATAAAAGTAAATCAGTGTATTTGTAAGCAACTAATTCTATAACGAAAAAAACTGAACAATGACAAATAATATAATGATATATATGTGTTTATTATTTTCAAATAGCTTAAGAAATCTGTATTGATTTAATTCATTTTGCGTATATCCCCATATTGATGATGTATTGCATATGAAATGAATTCATTTAACCATATATGTTAAATATATTTATGCTTCTTCTTTGTAGTTCATAGACAATACGTAATCATTTAAAACAATTTCATATACATATGCGATTTGTTTTTGTAATGCTGAAAAGGCTAAGGAAGACACCATATCTTGTAGAAATAAAAATTGTAAAGGAACAAAAACATTTAGTTTTAGACATTGGCGTAGTCTTAAATAAGTTAACATGTCGTTGCTCCTAAAGAAAATGGAGTAGAGCAGATTTTTGAATGCAGTTCTACCTTTCTATAGAGGAGTGACGATATGTGTGCGTGTGTGTGTGCATCATACATATGTTTGTATGTGCTATCAAAATGATGCAATCATTTACGATTTTTACAAGCATTTCATTTCAAATTCTGACCTTTTTTTGTACTACTTAAAGACCAACTACTAAATTTATATTTTACCTTAAGCTTCTTAATGTCATTCTATATAGGATATAATTATCTGTTCTGTTAGTTCAGCTCCGTATATCAAAGTTGGTACGAAGATAGGAAGTACGACTACATACTGAGTCCTTCTGAGCAGCAAAGTTATAATACTACACAAAAAATATAGAAAAGAAGACATCAGTTGATAATTTTAAAGCAACTTTAGGCGTGATAATACTTACATACATTATTTATTGAAACAAGTATATTAAGTGAGACATACTTGAAAAGTAGCAACAATTATTTATTAAGAGAAATTATACACAGTAGATTTAATGGAAAAGTTTTGTCGAATAGTACGATCGAAACTGAGCGCGACCGAGGAACGGGCATAGCTCTTCATTTTAAAGAAGACTTTTCCTATTGCATTATCTACCCTCATTAAATGAAAATAGCAAACAGCAATTTATTACGTATTGATGTCTGTAACTGCATGCAAAATAGGAGAAAGAGCAAACAAGAATAAAATTTAAAACAAAAGAATAAATGCAACGTTAAGTACATAATAATGGCAAACAAAAGAATGCAAAACTATACATACAATATTAATATGTATGCAAAATAAATATGCGATTATATGTGTAAAATAAATGTAACTACAATTCTTACCTAATACTATACTATATTTACCAACGTGTACACACAATACAACACACACTCACACTCACACAGGCATATGCAAACATTCATACAAATAAAACAGGCAAATATCTTCTACGTAAAGTATATGTGTGTAAATTGGATTTCAAGTTAAACAAACCAACTTGACATAAATAAACCAAATATGATAAATGGCACACACTGCTTTGTTTTTCTTTCAAATTTAATTTTAGAGACTATAAACAACCATTGCCAGTGCAATAGACATTAATTTCCAATGAATTTATTTGCTCTAAGACGCGATTCGGTATTTAGTTGTATGCTATTTAACTCGAATCAATCGCCTTCACTGCCGGACTCAAAGCCAGAGTCATCCTCCCGTTGACCGAGAATTGGATCCAACAACACGACACGGTAACGACCAAAGACTTGCCGGCGGGCCTGAGCCTCAGCCTCAACCATAACCCGATGGGCGGCACTCTGTCTCAGCCGGCGTTGATGGCGCTGAAGTAACGCCATTCGCCTATAAGAGGGATTGTTGCGCGAGTTTCCGGCTGACAACTGATTATCTCCACCACCGTCCATAGCCAATAGGGAAGCAAATTGAGTAAAAATATTCTAATGGTTTCCAGTGAGTTGTTGGTTTGTTGGTTTCTATAGTGCCGAAAATAAATGAATGCTTTTGAATTTAGAGCTATGTGTGTGTTCGTGCTGAATGCTAGTCTAAACAAACTGTTTTCTTTTTTTGTATATGTCACATATTTGACGTTGAAAGCAAAACAATGGCTCGGAAAATTCAGTTGCCATTTTAGTTAGTACATTGTGTGTATATATGTATGTATATATCTATATGAGCATGTGCAGTATGTATCAGCTGTTGATGCAATAAAATAAATTGTGCACACACACAGACTCACGCACACATTTCCATTATTGTTTGGGCTCTTTATTAGTTTTGGGTCAGCAACCGCAGCGCAATCAACGCGTACACAGTAACCGCAGAACGTTTTTCGCATGTGTACGAGTAGATGCTATAGCTGTGAAGCGGAAGCGGAAAATGCCATGCTGTAAAATGAACAGTAGACGGGGTTAACTGACCGAGTTGCCAGTCGCCATTTGCCATTTGCCAGTTACCAGTTTCTAGTTTCCAGTTGCCACTCGCTATCGGTTTTGCACAGCTTTGCCAAAGTGCTTCATTTTAGTCGCTGTATACGAGTATGTGTATACGTATATATGTATAATCCATTTCAGTCAATTCGTGATAGAAGCAGCTTTATTTGACAACATTGCTATATGCAAGAGAAATAACCGCTTTTAAATTATGTACAAGAGATTTATGTGGCCAATAATTTGAGTGTGCAGCCAGACATGGCCAGACATTAAGCAAAAGTACTGAGGAATTTCAAAATGGCATTGCAAGGGTAAGTACAATTTGTTCTTAGTGTTTTTTTTTTTTTGTGTTTTAAGTTCCTATTATGCATATTTAAGAAAATGCATACATGCAGCAAAAATCAATGAAATACATAATCGTATATTTGAAAAATGTTTTATAATTATTTATTGACGCATGCTCCGTTTAAATTTGGCACATAAGCAGTCCAAGGATTATGAAGACAAATAATATATTTGAAGTCTGTAGACTAGCGGACAATTATTTTTACGCCATTAGAAAGTTTTAAAAAATTTGTTTACAAGTGTCAGGCAAGTATAGTAGGTCGTCTTTTGAAACACAAATACATAAATTTAAAACCATAAAAAAGGACAGAAATCACTGATCTTATTAAATTTTTAGTTGACATTCATGTTGTTAACTCGGAACAAGAAATATTGTAGCTTAATTAAAATCAATTTGCGCTGTTTCCAGTGAATCATGTATGATAAAAGTTCCTTGAATTAAAAACAAATCAATTATGTGTGTTTGTACAGTTGGTGGACATGATTTTTTTTATCAGGCTAATTAAATCATAAAAAACAACTTGATTTTTGTACGGTTGTCGGCAACTGTGCGCAAAGTAAGTTAGGGCATAGGAAAAGGGAAACTGGGCAAATAGCGCCAGACCAACGGCAAACTATGCGCACTTGCACATTTTTAATTACGCTGCACATTTGCATTTGAATGGCGTATTTTACACGCTGATAAACTGGAATAAAGGCAACAGTTGGCGAGCGGGCAAAGATGTGCATGCTTGCATGAATTTGTGGCTCCCCTGCCTTAGCCCCTTCGGCTTAGCCCCCTCGCAGTCATAGTCAACTTCCACGTTCATGCATGTAGTATATTAATGATTTACAGAACGTGTAATTTTCAAGTTGACAACTTTTGTCCCGAAGCAGTGACCTCGTTTGTGCACATACAAACACATACTCATATGCACTTCTACCTAGCATTCTCGTAGTACACGGCGTAGGCTCTGTAATGTGCTTATAGTCGGAAGGGAGGGTGTGTGCGGGCTTGGCGGCATTTGAAATAGCCTTCCAAGCATAGCATACTTTTGCGGGCACTCGAAAATCATATTCCAATGTAAGTCCAACAAAAGCGAAAGTCCGGAATCCCTATCTGAAGTATACCGGTGCCACACAAAGTTATGTGATGCGCATAATGTGGAAGAAGTTGCACTATTCAGTTTTTAAAAAATGTATTTATTTACATTCCAGTTTCTGCATTTGGCTGTGGCGCAACGTTGTTTTCCCCTTGCATGGATTCTGCTGACACAAGACGCTTAAAGAGCTGCTCCGTCTCAGCCGTGTGTTTCTCATAAGCCGCATGGCGTGCAATTCTGGGCTTTTTCTCCAATTCAAGCAGCCATGGATGTATTCGCGGCAACGTTATTCCAACGGCAAAATCACGCATATTAAAGGGTGGTGAGTCCCATAACTCCACATTCGGACGATCTGTGCCTGCCACATTGCGGTCATTGTTGTTGGTGTTGCCGTCCATAATGCAACTGTTTGTTCAAATGAGTTAAGGACCTACAGCGCTGTCCTGTTGCTAAGCTTACCTTTCCGGAAAATGTTGTCTTTAAAAATTTTGGTTTGTTTTTTGATTCGAACTCAAAGATAATGAAATCAAAACCTACTTTGGCAAAGCAATAACATATAAGCTGTGCACAGTGGCTTAGATAGGTACAAAACTATTTCCCATCATCTATTATAACTCCACTTTAATCTAAAACTAAAACTAAACTAAAACTTGCCTACTTTAATAGTCTAGGGACAGACTAAAATGGGTTCTAGAAAATGCGGGCCTTAAGTGGGGGATAATTATTGATTTCCAATTGTCTTCAGCCTGTGCTTGCATATGAAGCGCAAATTAGTCGATTGGCAGCTCCCTAATTTATGTACGAAATTAATTATATGAACTTTATGAATTGTGTAAGGAACTAAAGGCCGTACGAGGACCGTCCGCAATCGCTGGAAACCACGATGTTGTGCCTCTGGCCCAGGTATGTCTTGGCCATCAAAGACAGATTGTGCGCACAATTAGCGTTCGAGACCAGGTTCGCACACGTGCCAAATTTTGGCAACGTGTGTCGCTGTCACGTGCCTTGAAAAACGCTGTGCAATGCCCAAAAACCACTTTTAATGACGACCAACAGGCCCGGCCCAGCCTGAGGGCTAATGACGGCTGGGTAAAGTTTACACTTCGAGTCTGCCTCTGTGGCGTGAAAGCGGGTAAAATTGAATATTTTTCACTAATTAAATTGGCAGAAGTTTCAGCTAGTTCTACCCACGCCTAGGTGTTGTCAAGTTCTGTGTATAATGCGACGTTGGGAAGCATGAAAAATGATTTAAGCTGAAGCGGTTTTGAAAG